ACATTGTTTCTTTATTTTCAGGAATTTTTTTCACCAAACTGTTTTATTGGGAGCTAATACAGATATCCTATCATTACATAGTTCAATCACATCAAGTAGCATTGTACAATTACTATCATAATCAGTTTCAAAACATCCTCCTCTCCCTTGAACCCCTAGACATCAGTTTCCCTTAATGCGTGCCCCCCCCCCCCAAAACACACACACACTATCCCTCAAGAACCCTTATTCGACTAGCTATCTCAATAGGTTCATCAATCCTGGGTTTCATATACTGAACAACAGAAAATCATGAAAAACAATTTTCATGAGGTTTTCCCCAGTGACAAACTACACCTGAAATAAACCCCAATATAAAAAAAAAAAAAAAACACAGAAAATGTTCAAAAGCAGATCAGGCCCAATGTGCATCAGAGAGGGGTATTAATGGACAAAGTTTTAACCATTCAAATCAGGTTTATCAGGATCTCTTCTAGTCGTCTCTCCAATGCCCTCTGTTTGGTAGCCACAATGGAGGGATAGGAAGAAAGTGGCTACCAAACAGAGGGCATTGGGCCTGATCTGCCTTTAGCACCCTGTAGATAATTTGTGGTAGAGAGTCTTATCGATAATCTCCCTGGAGCATAAAAATCTTCTGTTAATATCGCCATTGATTAGCCTCTGGTACTAATCTCTTAAAAACACTGTTGAGGGAAGAATATTGGGCAAATGTAGGATAACTTCAAATCGCTATAGCTGAAGCATTCACTTGTACAGAATAAATCCTTTCATGGCTGGACACTATTTGCAGAAACAATGGGAGCTGGTTGTCAAGGAAATTTTACAATAACTGAGGACAGTCACAGCTTTGCCAGAATAATGTATATCTTAATATAGCATATAAGGCATTAGTGTAGTAAGTCAATGATTGTCCGGCTACCAATAGTTCAATAATCAATAGTTCAGTTATTTCATCTGTTTTTTCTTTCTCCAAAGACCCTGAATTTTTTCTGTCTTAAATCCTCAGGTTATGAGTGTGTTTGAGGTAGAGTCCCATTCATCTGGAGTTTCAGCATCAGATCCCTCTGGTGCAGCCATTGGAGTGCATTGGGCACCTTGAAGGTCCAGGATTTAATGCCCCAGTGTTATATGGCACTTGGTGTGGGTCTAGGATGTGCTACAAACTCAGGCCAATGTGGCTTATTCAGTGTTTATTAACAATGATCCTCCCCACATAGGGTCCTTAAATATATTTTTTTGTCATTTTTCTCCCCACCTGGAGGACAGCCTCCCCCTTTTTCTACCAACAGTCATATACTTGCGTTCCTCAAGATATGTTATCCATAGTTGCATACTCCAGATGGTCGAGTGCCTTTGCATAGTCAATAAAACACAAGTAAAAATCTTCATGTAGTCTCTGTTTTCAGACAAGATGCATCTTCACTCATGACACTCTCTCTGGCTTGAATTTCTGGCAGCTTACTGTTGATGTATTGCTGCAACTGTCATTGAATGATCTTCGGCCAAATTTTATTTGCAAGTGGTATTAATGACATTGCTTGATAATTTCCACATTCTGTTCGGTCACTTTTCTTACAAATGAGTGCAAATAAGGACACAAAAATATCTTCCAGTCAGTTGGACAGGTAGCTCTTTTGCCAATTTCTTGGCATAATAAGTGAGTTCTTCTATTGCTTTATCAGCTTGTTGAAACATGTCAATTAGTATTTTGTCAATTCCTGGCCTCATTGAAACGTGTCCTTCTCAGACTCCTGATTCTTGATCATATGATATCTCTTAAAATGGTTGATAATTTGTTGTTAATTTGAGAGAATGATGAGTGAAAGGGTGGAGTCTGGCCTGTCAATCAGGTCATAGCCAATGATGCTTCTGTAGGGGCATGGCCTTCTCCTGAGGATTCTGGGAACTCCTGCATTCCTCCTTGGAGGCAGGAGATGCTCTCTCTCTCTCTGCTCACTCCTGGGAGACAGTGCAGTTGGCAAGCCACATGGAGACAGGCTGACAGCAGCCAGAGCCTCGGGGCTGGAGAAGCAACTTGGAGAACTCTGCCAGCATTGAGATGCTTACAACACCACTGGATCCACAAGACTTCCCACACCCTGGCCTGTGATCTTCCTGCATGTGTTTCCTGAGTCTGTGTAGGACTTTATAAATTGGTATCGGTCATCGGGGCTAATACTGGACTTATGGTCTTGATCGGAACCGGGCTGGGATGCTTTCTTAATGTACAATTATTCCTTATATAAAGCTCTTTCTTATACACAGATGCATGCTTATAAATTTGTTTCTCTAGCTACCCAGACTAACACATATATCATGCTTAGTAAAGACTAGGAAAAAAAAGAAGAGGACCCTTGATGAAATGAGAGGCTTATATCAAGGAGATGGCTCCAACATTGATAGAGGTAGTTAAGTTCCAACACCCTGGGTCAGGCTATTCTAGAGGTTCTCTTTACTCATAGACCTGCAGAATCAGATGAACCCAGGATCAGCAAGTCAGATGGCAGAGGAAAACAAATCCAAGGTTGACAGATAAGTTGGTTAGCTCCTGACTACTTTCGGTAGCAGTAAGAAATACAGCAGGCAAGTTTTTGAGTCTCTGGACATACATTTTGCTTTTTTATTTATTTTCTGACTTTGAAATTCCCTTTTGCTTCTTTCTATGATATTATTGATGTCGTCCCTCATCTCATCAGGTCTATCATTAATTTTCAAGGCAATTTATCTGTTCTTGATATGCTCTCTAAAACCATGTGTGTATATTCAAAATTTTATTTTAGTGTTCATTGACTTGTTTTAATTTTAGTCAACTTTAATCTGATCCTTCAATATGAGTAATTTATGGTCTGTTCCATAGTCAGCTCCTGGATTCAAATTGGCTGCTGATATTGAGCTTCCTCATTGTCTCTCATGCAGCTGTAGCCAATATGATTACAGTACTGTCTAATCCATCTGGAGAGATTCATGTGTAAGTCATCAGATATGTTGTCAAAAAAAACGGTACAAGCATTAAGAAGCCATTAATCTTGTAAATTTCTATCATGTGATATCTAGCTTGTTTCTATCAACAAGGCCATATTTTCTGACTACTACCCCTTCTATTTTTTCTAACTTTTGTATTTCAAGTATCCATAATATTTAATGCATCTTGATTGCATGATTGATTAATTGCATACCAAAGAAATTGGTAAAATTATTAAATTCCTTCACCACTAACCTTTGTCTGTTCATTAATTTGATTATAGTAATTGAACTTCTTTTAGGCATATCAGTATTGTCCTAATACTGATGGTATTGCAGATTGATTTAAGGCTGATATTAAATGTTCTTTTCGACAAAGCACTGGCATTCCTCTTGGGTTGTCATTCTAGGCATACTAAGCCATAGGGTGGTCTGATTCAAAATGGCCAGTGCCAGTCCACTTCAGCTAATTCATGCTTAGGATAATGGTCCTTATTCCAGTTTTTTCTGACAACTGCCACGTTTCCTAGATTCATACTTCATGCATTTCCTGTGCCTATTATTAATGAATGCTTGCATCTGTTTCTTCTCATTTTGAGGCATGCCTCACCAGCAAATGAAGTTCCAGAAAACATTACTACACCCATATAATTCTTTGACTCGACTTTGAGAAGGTAACCCATTGGCAATCGCATTTTGAGTGCATTTCAACTTGAGGAATTAATTTTCTGCAATGTTGTCAATCTGACAATGTTCTGGAGCTATTCATAAGGTTCTGAGTGGCTAATCCTTCACAAGTGGACAGCTGATTCCTTCTCTTAGTCTGCTGTTGGAAGTTGGAATGGAAGCTCCATTAAAACTTGTTCACTTTTGGTGAACCTGCTATATTTGAAATACCTTGTGACATTGTTTCCAGCATCACAACACACAAGCCACCAGAGTATGATTATCTAGCAGGTAAGTGGTGGATTTGTGAACCAGATGATTAAATTATCTGAGCATAAGTGTTGGCATAGGCAACTGATCCATATGGTACATATGAAGAGTAAACTTGTGATCATACTTTAATAAGTATCAAACTATAAAGCAATTTATATATACACAAAAGATTAACTATAAAATTTGTTCTAAGACTGACACTTTACATTAACAAATAGATGATTTCATACCTATAAAAGTAATGAGATAAAGCTTTATATTTAAGCAAATCAATAAGTTTAACAGTAATATTCAATAGCATTAAATATGACAAGGTTGAGCATTAATAAACAATCATAAGCATAAAATAAGATAGTCTCATTAGTATATACATTAATTAGCATGCTAAAAAGATTAAATTTTCATAATGTTAGTTAAAAACATCTGTTAAATCATTGACTTTTATATTAAATCACACTTTGTTTTTCCATAATTTTGAAAATATATCCACTCTGAATACTAACAATCACATAAGGAAAATGTATAGTTCAAAGAAATGTGGGATTTCTTATTCAGTTAATAATTGACATTTTATAAAAAGAAATACTTGCAAAATAAGTATCTGCACTTTTGAAGATTAGACTCTCTTGGAATATTTTATGCATATTTTATGTTGGCAAAAGTTTATATATTTAATGATTTCCAAGACAGAATTTTTAAATAAAACAAGGAACATTATTTATTCATTTAAGAGGTTTACATACTCCAAATATTTGTATTTTATAATATAATTAAACCTCTCATTTATTTTACCCTAAAACAGCACATGGAAAAATAGAAATGTGCAATTTTATATTTCTTATGTACAAAGGCATTCATATTGAAGAAAACAAAGATGTAATCGATGGAATGAATTTATTTTCTAAGATCAGGCAACCAAAAATCATCCAAATAATTAAAAATTAGGCATATTTGTAAACTGTTGTCACGACATGCCATTGAATCAGTTCCAACTGATAGCGAGCCTATGTACAACATAAGGAAACACTGGCAGGTCCCACTGTATCAATTTATCTCAAACGTGTTTCTTTTACGTATTCCTGTTAATTATATCAATAGTCTTATTTGTATGAAGAAGAAAATATCCTTTTAAATACAGCCTTGAATGCTTGTTTCACTTGCTGGTTCCTCAGAGTGTAAATGAATGGGTTCAACAACGGGGCGACTGAAGTGTTGAGCACGGCTACTCCTTTACTTACGTCAACTCTTTCTTTGGCTGAGGGCTTTATGTACATGAATATACAACTGCCATAAGTGATGGAGACAACAATCATGTGAGAAGCGCAGGTGGAAAAGGCTTTTTTCTTTTGCTGAGCTGAAGGGAACTGTAGAATTGTCTTGATGATGTAGGAGTAAGAAATGACTACTAATATCAATGTGATGATCACTATCATCAGAGCTAATAAAAAAGAAAGCAATTCTAATAAATGTGTATCTGAGCAAGAAAGTTGTAGGACAGGAGAAATGTCACATATGAAATGGTCCATGACATTGGATGCACAGAAATCCAGGTGAAGACACCAAATCAGTGGGGGGAAAATGAGCAGGAATGCAGCCACCCAAGAGCTGAGGACAAGTTTGTGGCAAACTCTGCTGTTCATGATGGATGTGTAGTGCAAGGGTTTGCAGATGGCAACGTAGCGGTCATAGGACATAGTAGTCAGAAGGAAAAATTCTATGACTCCCAAAAATATATAAAAAAACAGCTGAGATAGACAACCACGGTAAGAAATGGTTTTGTCCTTGGTTACAATGCTGAAAAGAAACCTGGGGATGCAAACAGTTGTGAATGAGATTTCCAGGAAAGAGAAATTACTGAGGAAGAAATACATTGGTGTTTTGAGATGGGAATCCAGTAGCGTTAGGGCAATAATGGTCAAGTTCCCTATCATGCTTAACATGTAATTGAGAAGCAAACATAAGAAAATTACAATCTGTAGCTGAGAATTGTCTGTCAGTCCCAGTAGAATAAACTCTATCTGTTTTGTATGGTTCTTCATTTTTCTGTTATGAGTTCAATCTAATTTAGAAATGAAAAGATACAAAAATCAGAAATCATATGAGTATCTTTATCTAAATATATATACATTTATATATTTATATATATCTCTACATGCATATATACATTCAGATACCTGACCATTTATAATGTAATATTCCACGTAAGCTGAAGCAGAGAAAATCCAAAGCAGAGAAAAATATATTTAACTCAATTTTTAAATGTATTATAAAAATCAACCCAATTTTGCAAACTGCTTATAAAGTATATGAAAATTAATTAATATTTTTCTTTTACAAATTATATCAGTTGTATCTAATCCAAAATTGATCATGTCATAATTAAGCTAAATTTTAAAATCTGAGTTCAGAATTCAAGGATAATTCATTTGTTTTCAGTTATCTATTTTATGAAAATTTAACATTGCCAGTAATTAACTTAAGACCTATAATTAAAATCTGAAACTTAGACATGCATTAAAGTGTCATTTTGTAGATCCCATTGGTAGCTTCCTCCGAACTCATAGTGAACTATTTAAAAGACAAAAAAGAACAAGTGGGATTTTAATACCATAAGAAAATAAACAGTGAAAGAACGTGAGAAATTTAGATAACTATTAAGCAGATATAGACATATTTCAAAAAAATCGATTTATGACTCAGTCACCTACATTTAACCAAGACCAATAGAGTAACAGAGAAAATAGAGAAATGCATGGAATATTTTCAAAATCTTTGCACAATTATAAGTACCTAGTGTCTATACCTACTCTTCAGATGCAACTCTGTAAGAATTAAAAATAACTGTTTACTTACTTATCCCATTGTCTGGTCTGTATGTCTCCAGCAATCACTTGAACACCTAATCAATTACCATTAATCTAAGGAATTATTGGTGTGGGAGAAGTGTGATAATTTGGATGAGACAAATCTAATCTGAATGTGTTTTAAGCTTGTAACTGAGGGGTTTATGTCCCTCTGTTTGAAATTACCAAAAGTCTGAGTGAATAAAGAGGAAATGTTGTCTGAACAGAGCAGAGTAGAATCAAGGTGGAAACTGTTAGGAACAAGAAACCAGATGTAAAACTGCTAATCCACCTATACAACCTGGTTAGGAATCTGACATGAAAGAGTGTGGACATCTAGACAAAGGGCAACTAAGTTTTGTAGGTCAAAGTTTGGAGAGGACGTTTGTGGTTTAGGAGCCTAAAACTATGACAAAAATACAACAGCATTATCAGGAATTTTACTAGCATCACTTATTCATAGTAATATGGTTTTAGAAAAATTTTGTAACTTTCTTAGATTTCAGCTTTCCATCTATAAAAAAAGAAAATTAATTATTTGCTCTTCAGTTATCAGGATTCAATATGATGCATATAGCATTTATCAATGTCATTTTGTTAGATTGTTAGATGCCTACGAGTTGGTTCAGAGTCACGGGGAAATTATGTTGTTTTCATTAAGTGACATCTAGTCTGTTCTGACCCCTATAGACCTTCTACACAACAGAACAAGACACACCTGTTTCCGTGCCTCCCTGACAATTGCTTCCATGCATTGCAGTCATGATGTCCATCCATTGAGAAAAGGAAGCCTTCCTCTGCTTCCCTGCCCCTCCCCTTCACCAAACATAATGCCCTTTTCCAGTGACGGGTTTCTGTTGACAGCATGTCCAAAGTATGTAAGATGAAGTCTCACCATTTGGCCTCTAAGGAACTCTCTTACCATACTTCTTCCAGGACAGACTGGTTCGCCCTTTAGCAGGCCATGGCACTTTCAGTCTTCTCCAGCACCACAATTCAAATGCACCAAGTCTTCCCCAGGCTTGTTTATTCAATGTCTAACTCTCACATGAGACTTACTTGTATATGAGGCAATGGAAAACATAAAAGCTTGGGTGAGCCACATTTTAGTTCTCAAAATGTCATGTTTGCTTTTGGTCTTGTATAGCAGATTTACCTAAAGCAACTCATCTTTTGCTCTCTTGACTGTTGCTTCCGTGAACATTAATTGTGGATCCAAGCAAGACGAAATCCTTGACAGCCTCAACCTTTACACCATTTATCATCTTACCTTTATTGGTCCAGTTGTGAGGATGTCAGTCTTCCTTACACTGAATTGCAATCCACACTGAGGGTTGCAATTCTTGATCTTTGTCAGCAAGTGTTTCAAGTCCTCCTCGCCTTCAGCAAGCACGTTTGTGTCATCTGCATATTGCAGGCTGTCAATAAGCCTTCCTCCAATCCTGATGTCACATTCTGCTTCATATAAGCCAGCTTCTCGGATGATTTGCTCAGCAGACAGATTGGATCTGTATGGTGAGAGGCTACAACCCTGATTTGAAACCACACAGTATTCCCTTGTTGTAGAAAACTATACAATAGAACAAAACATTGCTCAGGCCTATGCTGTTCTCATAATCATTTCTGTTGCACCCATTGTTCTAGCCGCTTTGCCATCTTTTTTTTTTCACTGACCATATACTTTCCCATGCATGATGTCCTTGTCCGCGGACTGATCTTTCCTGAGGAAATGTCTAATGTAGATAAGGTGAACTCTTTGCTGCCTATCTCCTCACTAGCATTATGGCTGTACTTCTTCCAAGACAAGTTTGTTATACAGGACTCCATGCCATGTTTAATATTTTTGCCAACACCACAATTCAAGACACCCATTCTTCTCTGCTCTTCTTTATTCATTGTCCAGCATTTGCATGTATAACCTGTGACTGAAAATGCCATGGTTTGTATCAGGGGCACCCTAGTCTTCAAATTAATATATTTGCTTTTTTTTTTTTTGGAGTCTTGTCGCTGTATCTGTTCTGTGCCATCGATCAGTTCTGACTCAAAGCTTTTTTAACATTTTAAGATATTGCTTACAGCAGATTACCAAATACATCATTTTATTTTCAAACACTTCTATGGGTGTTGATTGTGGTCCTATGGAATCCTGAACCACTTGAATCTTTTCTCCATTTTTCATGATGTTGCTTATCAGCCTATTGTATTTTTATTTTTATGATGCTGAGGATTAATCCATATTGAAAGTGAGAGTGGTAGTAAAAATCACCACTAAGTGCTTCAAACCCTTTCAACTTTCAGAAAGCAAGATTGAGATATTTGTAAATCACAAGTAGTCATGGATTTCTCCTGCAATCCTGATGCAGAACTTTTCTTATTATAGTCCAGTTCCTAGAGTTCTTTTCTTAGCATCCATACTGAGTAAGTATAGTGAATAGGATTCAACTGCTAGGAACATCTTTCTTGATTTCAGTCACATAGGTGTCTCGTGTTGTGTTTACACAGCTGCCTCTTTGTCTATTTACAGAACACGCATGATCTTTGTGCTGTTACACACAATATGTATGATTCCCATATATGAATGCCTTTACAGTGGCATAATCATGCTGCATGTATCTTTCTAATACTATATGCGTTCAGTTATAATCCATCGGATGGCATAATTTCACAGGTCTTAGCAATCCAGTTTGCATTTCTGGAAGCTTAAGTGTCAAATTTATTCTTCAGATGTATCTAAATTCAGGTGAAATACATTCAAGTTCTTATTTTGTCTCCTGTGAACTTGTTTAATTTTTCCCATTTCAACTTCAACTTGCACATGTATATTTTTGATTGACAGTCTCTCTCTGAGCATTATCTAAAAGTTAATACTGAACTTTTTTATCATCTCTTTCAAAACACATCGTTGATTTGATTTGCTGGTTGCTCCAACCAGCAAAGTCTAGGTTCATAATATCTTTTTCATGTTTTGAAAAAATGTATTTTCAATGACTAAGTTATTGACCTTGCAAAATTCTATTATATAATCTCTGGTGTTGGTTCTATCATCAAGGCCATACTTTCCAATTGCTCACACTTCATTTTTGTTTTCAAATTTCATATTTCAATCGCAATTGATTATCTTGATTTTTTGATCCATTTTGGACTCCAGAAGTTGGTAAAAATATTTAATGAATTCATCTTTGGATTAAATGTTTGTGTGGTTTCCAGTCTGAAAACTCATCTTCAGATGATGTTCCATACATATCCATAGGTTTTAAGTGACTAATATTTGAAGGGACGCTTCTAGTAGGATTTAACTCATAAGGCAAAAGGCAACTGACACATAGGAATTCCAGCATAGTACTCTGTAGCGATGCAGACTGACAAACTTCCTTCCACAGAATTGCTGATAGGTTTGAATGGCCAATCTTTTGGACAACACCCAAGTGCTTAACCACTAAACCACTTGAGATCCTTAAAGCATACTGTGAAGATTTAATAGGTAAAATATTAAAATAAAGAATGGGTGAATAAACTATAATATATTCCATTGTAATGTAGCGTTTCATAAGAATGAAACTATTAAAACTATAGTTACATTGCACTATGGATAAATTTTAGACATGTAATAAAAGTACTATACAAGTTACCTTCAAGTTGATTTCAATTTTTGATGATCCCACATGTCAGAGTATAACTATGTTTCCTAGATTTACAATGGCTGATGTTTCAGAAATAGACTGTTAGGTCCTTCTTCTGAGGTACTTCTGGACAAGTCCTTCACATTTTTAAACTTTACTTTAACCAGCTGAGCACATTAAACATTTGCACCATCCAATAACTACTAGATAAATAATGTTAAGTCCAGAAAGCATATTGGAAACTAATAAAAGTTGGTGTCATGTACATACTATTACATATATATTATATATCTCTATTACATAGAAAAATATAAGTAATTAGGTAAAGATGGAGGGGAAGTGTGTGTTTATGGTTCTATCGATGTTCATACAAGGGAATAAAAATTACAACTCTTATATACCTCTAAAAATTGGCAGGTGATTAAGATACATTATAGCCTTACTGGGTGCTGGATTGGGCAATGCAGTCTTAGGTGATTTTTCCTTAATCATTATAAATTGATGCAGAGAAAGTAAATAAGCTAAGGACAAAGGGAGAGAGAAAGGGAGGGAGGAGGGCAGGAGAAATGGGAGGGA